TCTTTCTTAATAATATAGGAGAATAAATGATTTCATTTATCCCTCTGAATTAGGAATTAGGGCTAAGAAAGCTAACCAGTGCTACCAGCTACCATACCTGACTGAACTGTGTCATGATTATTCTTTTTAACCACAGAATGGAAAAGGACAAGATCTGCCACAAGTCAAACTTTGCCCTGGGAAATGGAAGCCAAAAACTGCCAAATCAAGAGATGAAGGGGTATTTTCTTTGGTTGCAACATGTGGAGTTCCACTGGTTGAAAGACACTTGTTTGAACCTGAAGAAAAATCCCTCTTTCACTTTGAAGGTTACCTTCTGCTAAAATTCCCAACACCAGTGAATAGACTGGCTTTAAGACCACCAAAACCTCTACTTATCCCATTTCAGCTGGGGCTGTAAGAGAAGCTTTCAACCCAATTGTGAGCTTAAGCCTCTTTTGAGTCACAAATTTGAGAAAGATTTAAAATTCATTTGCAGAAAAAGAACTGTTTGTGTGTTTGTCTAAAACTGCAAGACTTTTTTCCGGATTGAGATTTCCCTGCCATTAAACTCAGTCATTTCACTTCATTTGACCCAGCTCAGACCTCTCTGCCTTTTGGAACATTTCAATAGCTACAGAAGTGGTTAGATAATAGCTAACAAATAAAATACCAGCCCAGAGTAACTGGAACAAATAAGCTGTGTAGCACAAATGCTCACTGAAACTCAGCAGAAATCAGAGCTCTCTACAGAGCTCAGCAGGGCTGGAACAGCAGTCCTGATGTGAAGAATGGCAATTTGTCCACCTGCAGTTTTAAAACTCCTCATGTAAAATCAGTAAATTGTCCCAGGTTTTTTTTGTTGTTTTTTTTTTTTTTTTTTGGATAGGTTACCACTAAATTTTTTTGTAACTTGTCTACAAAATGAAAAGGTTTTATTATGTCCTCCATAACATGAAGCTAAGGACATATAAACTGTTTTTTTATTATTATTATTATCATCATCATCCTCAATCTTCATGTTGTTGCTGGTATTTAGGGGAAGGTGGAGAGACTGTGAAAGCAATACTTGTTGCCTTACTACACAAAACATAATGCAAAAAAAAATATGTTGACTAAGTTTTGCATGCTAATAAATTTGTTATGACTTCATCCAATTATGGCACATTTAGCAGTTTGTATACCACAATGAAATCTGCAATTATAATTTTTGTAACTTTATGTTCCAGACAAGATGATGGGATTGCTGCTCAGCAGCTCCTAATCGGGTTTACATTTTTATGTCCTATATGAAATTTGTGGCAAATTGCATCTTTCCATTTATTATTTAGCAGACAGGTGCACAGAAAGCAAAGCTGGTGGTGGCAGAGTGGGACTTGTTAGCCACTACAAACTGCAATATATTTGTACTAGGAAAAAAGTCCTATTTTATGCATAAATCTCACTAATTAGTAAAATCCAGATAAGCAGTATTTTCTGTGAGATATAGGTGTACCATATTCAAACTGTTTGTTGAATAGGCTCTCGTTTGGAGCTGAGAACATTGGTTAGAAACAGGCATATTATGGCCAGTCAGTCATCACAGAAATATTGAGTCATGGCTCTGTTTAAAAACCTGCAGGGGCTTTGGCCATCCCTTGATTGAATTCTTGGTCAAGAAGTGTTGACCACACAGCCCTGAGCGCATCATCTCTTGCCATGAGATGGATTCCTTTGCTGAAGGATCCCACACTACAGCTTCTGAAGTGAAAACACAGAAGTAAAACAGCCCTAATAATTGTATTTTCAGCCTCCTAGAATTACTTGCTAGGATAGATAAGTTTCACCACCATTAGTGAGGACGTTGAGGAGAAGCTGTGGAGAAGCCAGTCTGGTTTGTGAAAAGGGTTAAGGGGGAAAAGCTGAACTGAACCATGGGGATATTTTAAATGGAGGGACATATCATTCTGTATCTCCTATTCCAACTGAAAAGAAAAACAATCATCAGACTCTCACTGCCAACAGCACTGTGCTTCTCTCCTTGAATTCCAGCCTACTGCTAGGAGCAGCTCAAATCCACATGGAGACTGCAGTTTTATGGAGATTGAGCAATGCCTACCTGACTATTCATGGAAAAGGGTTATTCATAACACTAAGTGACTAAGACTAAAACAGAGAGACTGATATGCCAGAAGTTACAACTTCAGTAACCCCTTTGGCTCAGGTATTTTCAAGTATGATAAAATGACAAGGCCGATGAAGGCAAATTAACAGCTTTTAAAAGTTGAGAGTGGGAGGATGAATGACATTTTGATGAGAAGAATGACAGATAAAATGATCCAGACAATAGGGATTATGCAGAACATAATTCCTGTGCCAATCCACAGTTTTTTTTAAAAAGCAGTAGCAGTTGGGATCTGACAAATGAAACAGTAAAACTGTTCTCAAATAAACAAAAATGAGGAGTGTAGCTGTGTGATGAATGTTAAGATAAAACAGGAAAGCTGAACACCAGCACGTAAAGCTAATGAAAATTTCTTGCTGAAAAACTAACATTCACTTCCTTTTCCTGTACCATAGTGCGGACAGAAACAATAAGCTGTCAGAAAGTTTCATTTCACCTCTCCCATTCTTGCACCCACCAGCTAAATGACTCTGCACGGCTCAGGACTACCCAACACTGCAGCCCCAGAGCTCAAACTACCTCAGAGAAGAATTATTCTAAAATTTCATTGGCTTTCAGTGAGCTGTAAGCCTGAGAAAATATAAATACAGCTTTAATACCCAGGTGATTTGGAAAATTATTTAGTGCTATATAACCAACATATTGCTTTAAAATTACCTTATAAAATAGAATAAAACCCCCCTAAATGTCAATTTGTCTACTGAACAGCAGTGCCTGAGTTAACTACAGCAAGGAAACAACTGGCATGAATGAGCTCAGAGCCAAAAGAACTACTGCACTGACTCATACTGGACAGGACACTCTTGCTAAACTCAAGAATTTGTAAATGAGAATGAAGGTGCAGGAAAAAAAAATATCCCTGAATATCTTAATCATAATGTCTGAGACTTCTGTGAATGAAATATCTCCCTGAGAGGTGCAAAACTGTGTGAGTGTACCTGCTGCTACTCAGTTTTAAGAAAAATCATTCAATTTAATGGAATTTTGAAAATTACTCTGAAATCCTTTAATTGGAAAGCGAAAGGAAATAATCCTGAAGTATCATCATCAAACCTGTAAATTGGTTCCTGGAAGGGCTCAAATGCCATCCTGCAGGTCTGTCAAACACTGAGACAAGTCATGTATGCCTTTACTTCAGTTTAAGTAAATAATTCTTGCATGTGGGTATCAAGTTTTGTGACTTAAAATAGGAACCGTGCATTTGCATATGAAGAAAAATTTCATTTGTCTTAGGGCTATGCAGACATTTCTCCTGCCTCAGATTTTGGCATCATACTAAGATGGCTGTTAGTTGCTATTTGCATGAATACGTTAATCTCAAATTAAATTGGTTTCTACTCGAGCTAAATATGTTACTGCACAACAAATAGATCTTAATTGTTTTACTATTAAGTGAAGTAGCAAGCACCAAAGATTACCAAATTACCTCAGACAACTAGCAGTGGGCGTGCTACCAAACAGCACAGAGTTCAAGGGAATTCTGGGGAAAATTCTAAGGAAAACTGAGATATATCTATACGGCTGTTCACTCAGGAAATATAAAACCTAAACCAAACCAACAAAGAAGCAGGAAGAATTCATTGGACTATCTAGGATTATTTTAAAGTATAGGAAATTTTGAGTCCTTTCACTTCGATGATAAACGTTGGGATTTTTAGAGATGGTACATAGTATTCAACTAAACATAATTGAGGATAATTGAACCTTTGGAACAGATTGCCCACAGAAGTTGTGGATGTTCCATCCCCTGAAGTGTCCAAGGCCAAGCCGGATGGGGTTTTGAGCCACCAGGTCTAGTGGAAGGTGTCCCTGCCCATGGCAGAGGTTTGGGACTAGATATAGTTAAAGGCCTCCTCCAACCCAAATGTTCCCATTATTTCACAGAGGAGAATTATTATCAAATCTCCACTCTCCAGCAGAATTGGAAATACATGGCCAAAACACTACCAAGTTTTTGTTTCATGGCAAATACTAGAATATCAAAATATCTTGTTTCTGGTTACAACTAAAACCTACACTCTGAATAGGCTTGACTTGGCAAAAAAAAACCATTAAAAAAATTGAAATTTGAGACTGTTGTATTCTATGTCTTCAGGTTTTATCTATCTTTACAAAATTTCGTACCGCTAACAGCAAGTAAAAAATTCAACTCTACTTTCCAGTGCATGAAGGCAGCCTATAAGAAAAATGGAGAGGAACTTTTTACAGGAGCTGACAGGACACAGGGAAATGGATTCAAGCTGAAGTACACTAGGTTTAGATTAGATATTAGGAAAAGATTCTTTCTTGTGAGGGTGGTGAGGCACTGGGACAGGATTCCCAGAGAAGCTGCGGATGTCCCATCCCTGGAGGTGTTCAGGGCCATGTTGGATGGAGTTTTGAGCAACGTGATCTAGTGAAAAGTGTCCCTGACCACATCAGGGGGATTGGAACCAGATGATCTTTAAGGTCCCTTCCAACCCAGGCCATTCTACAGTTCCATGACATAACACGACATTTTCAATATATTTTTATCTTACTGAGGGCAATGCTTAAGGCACAAACAATAGCAATACCTTCCTGCTAAGTGAAGCTGCACCTTCTTTGTCACTACACAGTTGCAGAGGCCCCAGAATGCCCTTCCTAGTCCATCCTCAGGTCCTCAGCCAAGCCATAGCTTTGCTCAGACCATGACATGTGCTCCCATTTGATGTCTTGGAGCTGACCCTTCCTCTCTGCCAACACCACCACGTGTAGAAAGGGCCCAATTCAGCCTCTCCTTGAGATGCACAAAAGGGCTGTCCTGCTAGCTGGGGCTCTGGGGAACTGCAGCATGCAAATATGAAAGAAAAGAAAGTAATAAAAAAAGTTGACTAACCTAACCCACCTGAGCTCGGCTCACAGGGATCGATGTCCTCATCATCGCTGGGACATTCAGCCGAGGCCACCAGGATGTCATCTGAAGTCTGCAAAGAAAATAAGAGTCAAATAGATGTACTTGGATTGACTGGACATGTTGTAAGTTTCTCACCAGCACGTCTTTTTTTTTTTCTTTTTTTTTTTTTTTTTTGGAATTTATGCAAGGCCCAGAGCGTTTCAGACTTAAAGTGTAATGGTGCAGTGACACTCTCCAACTCTGTATTAATGGGACTTTGCTTTTCAATTTGCACTTGTCAGAATTTAGAATTGTGTTAGATATCCAGTGTGGGCGCTTACACATTTTAATTTTTTTTTTCTTTTTGTAATAAGGACAGAAAGTAGAAGGACAGAATATGTATATTGAGGCTGCTGGTCTTCCCTCTTTATCTCCAATATCTCTACTATGATATTACTGAGAACATTGAGGGCATTAAAATACAAGTCAAAATAATGAACTGCCTGCAGTGCAGCTGTTAAAACTATTATAAATGTAGTGATGCTTTCTCCATTAACTGCACTTGCTATTTCAGATGTAGAATAAAAAAATAAAAGGAAAAGAAGCAAACATATCTCTCACTGAGCTGAAAACTATTTAATGAAAAGAAACTCAAGGAAAGCAAACAATAATAAATGCATACATGCTAGAAATTATTATGGCATTTTCTTAAATAAGTGAAAACATCTTATTTTCTTAAATAGGTAAAGCACAGTGTGAGTGCTATGATTAGGTCCCAGAGCCAAAATGCATTTGGACTATTTTTGTATAAAGAAATTATATAAATCAAGACAAAGGAGACAAACCATGGAATGTATGGTAAAACAGACCATAAAAGTTCAAAAAAGAACTGGAGAATTCCTACCTACTGCTTCTTACAGTGCAAGAACAAGGAGATATTCAATGAAACACTGAGACAATCAATCAGTCAACACGAAAAAATGAGTATCTTTTCAAACCACCTCTGAGAACAGTCATTTAGAAATGTAATAAGAACGTCTACAGTAATTCAGGGAAATAATAGGAGGGAAATATAAACTGTCATGCACCTGATCATTACTCAAGAAATTACTAAAGAGGTTAGGAAGATGCTTTTCCTATGGGTGAGGCGTTTCATAACTGTCCATCTCAAACTTCTGTTCACCTCACTGAAGGAAATACATGGAGACAATAAAATACTACATCATATTCCAACAAGAGGCTCAGGTTGTAGCATGCAAAAAGCCATTCTTGGATTCCTATATGATAATTATGCCAACAGCCCATTTCAGTGAATACGAAACTTTCTTCCTTTATCTCTCCATGGGTATAGAGGAGGGACATAAAATGCAGGAAAGTTTTCTTTCATCAGTTTAAATCTGAAGATGTAAAAATTTTACAGCTGTGCAGCAGGGCCAAAGGCTAAGCAATGCTATTTATCATTATTATTCTAACCAGAGTTTTAAAGTGAAGCATATTACAGTAATAGGCTTTACTCTGTCATGCTTCGAGAATATTAATGAATATAAGCTTTCAGCACTTGTCTGAAGTAGGAAAGTGATACAGGAATACATTCATTAATATGTGAGGCATAACAAAGAAAAGCTCATAATAATAATAATCATAATATATTTTAGAGGTAAAAGACTGAGGCATAACGGAATGAAGTAACTTGCTGAAGGTAATCAAAAAGGCTATAGACAACAGCTATGTTTGGATGCCATAATCACAAAAATGATCTTTCCTTATAGCTGAGAAAATTTGTAGCTAGAGGAAACAACTGTAAACCTGAAATACTGCCAAAATTAGATTAGCAAGATTTAAAAAACACCCCAAAAAAAGCTTTTTAGTTGTCCTTCATTTCTACCAGTAGAAAACCAAAGTTGTAACAAAAGCCAACTGCAAACATCCTCTTGAATTTCCAATGTCCATTTCTTATCCCTAGATGACAACCATTTAAGCTTGAAAACCAGTAGCTTGGTCTCTTTGAGAAAAATTACCTTTTTTTTATATAAAGAAAAAATAACCAAGTAACCAACAAAGCCTCCCCATAAGAAAATATCTCTGCACTGTAAACCCCACAACTATTAGGTATAAAAACATAATAATAAGCACATAAAGTACCATGCATCTTCCGAAGAGTTTCAACTTGGTAAGTGAAGCAGCTGTGTCAAATTTTTCCTTTTGCCCACAACACTGGACAAGACAATACTTTTATGACCTGTAGCCAGAATTCTGAATATTTATCAATGGATCACTGAGGAGCTCTACACAAACACCATTAAACAGAGAGGATCACATGCATACCCAACAGTAACATCAAGAAATGGTCTCAGACCTACTGGTCTGACTGGAATTTTGATTTAGGAGTGCTTTGGCCCATGCACAGATGGGTCACCCTTGTAACTTGAATGACTCAAGAAGAAACGATCAGGCAGATTTATGGGATTATTGCAGTGTTTCTGATTACCCTTGATATAGGACAGCATGGTAGGTTTTCAGGTAACTCTACTTCTTTGTACAATTTGTGGTATGTTCAAAATTCTGGTAATTCAAAATCACCAGAAAAATAATGCACTTTAAGTATTTTCATGTCTGAGAGATACTTTGCTCAGCTACTTATAAGAGAGTGTCAAAACTGTCTTCATAGAGTGACACTAATTCCAATCTATAGAAAGAGTATTCATACTTCCACAAGAAGAAAGGGTTGCTCTTGAATGATAAAAATGCATGCATATTATGGGTACAGAAACGAATAATACCTTAAATAAATGCGAATATAGAATGTTGAGAAAGACCTCATTAATGTCTCAGCATATTAAAGGAAGTAATGTGTGTCTCAAAGTCAATACTTGGTATAAAACTCTTTTATTTTGTAAGCAATAATCAAGTGTCAGTAGCTGAATAAGAAGCCAAGTGACAAGATGATGCGAAAAGTGTTTTTATTTAGAAAAATATCTGAAGAAAAATTTGAGTTTTAGTACCAATTAAAGGATGTGTCACAATCTGCCCTTATTCACCCCTTTCCCCAAATCCAAACAGCCCTTTGCTGCTACTCATGCATATTTTCAGAGAAAAGGGCAAAGGAGCTCTGAAAGACAGGTGAGATAGCAGTGACCAAACTACAAATGAAAGCTATTGGTCTGCCTGACAGAATTCAAAACGCGATTCAGAATTAGCTAAAACACTTGATAATATAGAGAATACGTAGATTAAACACTGTGGGCCAGATACTTTCTGGAGTTATTTCTCCAGAAGAGCTCTGACTGATGTGAATTTACCTGAAGAGAGAGCAGAATTTAGACCTGAAGGTGTCAGACAGCCATGGGGTGCAGATCAATGAGGCAAGATAATGTGTTTTACTGACTTGACATTATCTTTTCTTCATGCTTTTTAATTTGGATGGGAAGATTTAAACCAAATCAGTTCTCCTAAGCGAATTGCCATTGTTGCTAGCACGATGGCTAATTTACAGGACACTGCTTCAAGCATTCTCATTAATCAAGGATTTAAAAGTCAGTGGAAAATCCCTTATTTACAGTGAGTGCCTAATAGGATAACATCCAACTGGTATCATCATCCTACACGATTGGATTAGAATGTGTCTTGGGTGAGTTGTTCAAATTAATTTAAGAGGTGATACTCCAGTTGTAAGAAATTAAAAAAAAAATAAAATAGCAGGTGTACAGTGTAAAAGGTCAGCCAGAATTTCTTTTAATTGCTTCTTCTTTTCTTTGTGCATTTTCAGAGATTTTTCAGATTCAATTTGCAGCTATGACTGTAGGATTTAAAATGCAGTCCACTGTAAAATGTGGATTCTCAGAAAGCTGGACATCTGTACACATATAAAAAAAAAGCTTACAATTAACATGGCAATGAAAAAATGGAGCCAAAAAAATCCCACATTTAGTAAGACTAGAATTCATTGGAGAATGTTGGTTCTGACAAATATTCAGGGGTATGGCCCCTGCAGGAATAGGTCTTGCTTACATCAGCTATGTCTGCTTGCAAAAATAAAGAAATTGGGATTTGTCTCTCAGCCAAGAGACAGTTTAAAATACCACCAATCTGCCACCTTGCCTGAGGAAGGAAATGGTGACTATTTCAAGAAAGCTCCTGGCCAGATGAAAAAATGATGCTGTAGTCGTGGCTTAAATGCAGTGACAATCTGTAGCTAAGGATAAATATCAAGCTGCCTCAAAGGTTACTATCCCTGGTTCAAAACTAGTACCAGAAAATGTCTGTGCCCTTCTAATAGTGATCTCTGAATGCTATGTCATTAAAAGAAATAATTGGAAATGAATAAACAATACAGGAAAGTAATTTTTTATTATTATTCATTTTTTTGCATGACTGAGATTGAATACACACCAACTTACTCCGTTTGTATGTATGAAGTCTACTATACCTGAGGGTATGAGAGAAATATGACCTAAAAATTAAATCAGCGATCTGAGCTGTGCATTCATTAACAGTATAATGGATCCTGCATATTTTCTGCTGTAGTATGGCACCAGCTCTCCTTTAAATCATAGCACCCTACAGCTACTCTGAATATAGTTTATTCCTTTCTTGTTCAATAATATACTTTATCCAATGAGAACTGCAAGCAAATCCAAATTACACAATAGCTAAAAAGTAGCAGTCCTAAATTATTATATGAATTATAACCAGCACAACCTCTTATGACTACTCTTTAAATTATTTCAGATGAGAACTTCAAGTGCGTAAGTCAGAATTACTCTTATTTATTTGTACAGCTCTGGTGCTGAATGCCAGCAGAGACCAGTGCTCTTGTGCCTGGTGCCAAAGGCAGCTGGAAAGCAAAGGTTCTGCTCTGAGGAGCTTTGAGATTGATTTTGGACAACAAATGAGTGGGAGAGGGAGCAGAGGATGAGAAGGGTCAGGTGAGGATGCTACTGAGAGGTGCTGGCAGCTACACAGCGGCTCTGATCTAGCACATTTCCCAAAATTATGCTCCCATCGAGCAGGAAGGAAGGTCAGAAAGAAAGCAGGCACAGGAAAGCCAGGCAGGAGCCTGTGGCTGGCCAAGGAGATGCTGGGAACAGATGG